GAAAGGGGCGCAACTGGTAAATCAGGCGCACCTGATAAAACGCCCCCCTGGTCACGGCCGACAAATGATCTTCCAGTGTCAGCCGTGGATCCAGGAGGACTCCCAGATTGCGCGCCCTCTCTGAGGGGGCCAAGAATTCGCCCCCTATAGACAGCGATGGAACCAACTGACTATGCCGGGGCGCCGGCAGCCACAGCCATTCGGTCTTGGAAGGGTTGAGTCTGAGTCTGTTCCTTCCCATCCAGACCCGTACGGCCTCCAGGGCTTTCATAGAAGGGCTTTCATAGAAGGGCTTTCATAGAGAAGAGGAGGGTCAACCTGTTCTCCAAAGCACCTGAGGGCAGAACAAGAAGTAATGGGTGGAAGATCATTGAAGAGAGATCCAACCTAGAACTAAATAGAAATTTCCTAACAGTGAGAACAATTAATTACTGGAAGGTTTAATCACTGGCCATTTTTAAGAAGAGATTGGACAACCATTTGTCCAGAATGTTACAGAGTCTCCTGCTCAAGCAGTGGGTTGGACTAGAAGACTTCCAAGGTCCCTTCCAACCCTATTATGTTATTTTATGTTGTTATTGCCTCCTTCTCCAAGATTCTCTTGTTACAGTAGGATTATTGTTTGTCAGATTTATATGCTATTCAAGATGACCTGTATGAGGCTCTCCTCACAATAACAACATGTGAAGGAGATTGAATTGGGCTGGGAGAGTGATTGGCCCAAAGTCACCAAATGAGTTTCTATAGTTAAGGGTGGACTTGAACCTGGGTGTCCCCAGACTTGACCAACAGCTTGCTACACCACATTTGTTCTCCAGCAGTACTGACTCCTGTAATGCTCATGTGACCTGTGGTTGGGTGGGTATCCAGGAAACACTGAAAACAGGGAGCTTCTGTGCTAGTCATGTTTTTTTTTTTAAAAAAGGGGGGAAAGATTGAAATTTACTACATATCATAAGGCAAATATCATCCCTGACCTTGTCCAACTGGTTTTTTTATTATTTTTGTTAATAAAACCATCAGTATAGACAGTGGTGGGATTCAAGTATGTGAACAACTGGTTCTCTGTCTGGATGCTGCTTCCGGAAGTCCATTCTGGGCCTGGGCAACAAAAAGTTAGCTACCGGTTCTGCCAAAGTGGTGTGAACCAGCTGAATCCCACCACTGAGTATAAATGACTTTTTATTATACTAAAATGAGAATAAAGTACTGAAGGTTATAATTATATCTTATTCTTAGCACAGTCATTCTGTCACTCTAGAATTCAAAATGCATGCAGTGTGAGAAGCTTGATGAAATTAGTCTCAACAATATGTTGTGTTTGATCTGATTGTAATTTTTGTAAATTTGATATGGAGAGTGCATGGAAATGTATTTTTGATTTGAGGAAAAAAAAATTGAGTGCTGTTGAATCAACTCTTAGCACCTACCTGGCTAAGTTCCTGCAATTTTCTTGGCAAGATTTTAGAAGTGGTCTACCATTACCTGCTTCCTAGGGCTGAGAGATTGTGGCTCTGAAAATATATGGAATATATATATGTTTGATCCTGGACAATGAAAATAGATATCTATTATAAATGCCCTCTTGTCATCAGATCCAATTGAGAACCACCTAGGTGGCTCTAAAAGTTCTAGAATCTTACGCACTAAGCCATCTAGGTGGCACTGAAGCAGTCATTCTCTCTCAGCTTTAGGAAACAGGCAATGGCAAACCACTTCTGAGAAACCTTGTCAAGTGAACTGCAGGTGACCAGTCCAGGCAGTCACCAGAATCAGCACTGACATATCACCATGTCATATCTTATGTCAGTGCTGACTCCTCGTGACTGCTTGGACTGGTCCCTGAACTTGAAAAGGTTTCTCAAGTGGTGTATCTGTATATGCATACATATACCCACTGTACACACAAACACAAACACAAAAAATACTCTAGAAAATATTCTTCCCTAAGGAAGTACGTTTTAATCTTCCAGTAACAAAAAATGTGGCATAATCCTTGAAGGTACAGTAGTGGCCAAAATTGTGGAAACCTTTTGGGAAAAGTGTACAGTAGAAATGCCACCTTTGGTTAAGTTTCCACCAATTTTTCTTCTAATTTCTTTATAACTGTAACCTTAATAATACTATTATTCACTATTTTACATCGCTTTCTGGGCAACCAGTCAACTCTTTGCACCATTACTTTAATTTTATTACGTTTTACAAGCTTACTAAATGAAAGAACACAAAAAAACCCCAACCAACTTGATAGCGATCACATAACACACTGACAGCTTCGATACATGACATTAATAACTGAATCCTACTGTGATCTGATTGGCTCATTGCCAAAACAAGATGACACCTGATTGGCTCTCTAAACACTTATGCTCATTGGCTACAATCAGATGAAGGAAAGCTACCTGATATCAACCTAAGATGAAGGAAAGCTACCTGATATCAGGAAAGCTACCTGATATCAACCTTTTTCTGGTTATTTGGCTATAACTTTTCATAGAACGCAGTACAGATAATTGAACAAACTTTGTTGCATTACATTCTTGATTAAAATATCTTTCCATTGATATATAATTTTATGGTACTACTCCAAAAAAAAGTGTTATTAGCCATCAAACCTCAAAAATACACTTTTCCCAAAAGGTTTCCATAATTTTGGCCACTACTGTGTATGTGGCAACTCTTTAGTTATGCTGAAGCAGGGGATATAGCTGAGCAATCACAAATCTTGAGTTGCTCATCTCTGAGCTGTTCCTTCCCCAGAGAGTAATATTTTCAGGGAAGTATTATAGATATAATATAACCTCTAGGTAACAGTCATTTTAAAGTGCATTTTCTTGCTTTTGTTTTCCTTGCCTATTTTGTTTTCATTTTTTGATACACCTATTTAAATTCTAAAATTGAAGACTACAACTATATTTTATGAATAGTAAGCCAGTATGAACATTCTGTCTGGATTTGATGTGTAAATGCTTTAAATTAACAAACAATCATTGTAAAAGTGATTTATGTAGATTTATATTAATTCCTTTACCACAAATACAGAAATCAAGTGGTAAACTAGGTCTCTTTTATGAATTAATGCTATGCATCTGTATTTCTTTTGAATGGCTTTTGATTCCTTAATTATTTTTTTTACTGATTTCAATGAAATCTTCCAGATTCTCCTAAATACAGTTAAGGATTCTAAGGCAGAACAACATTTCCTCTCAATTTTACAGCACTTCCTGCTAATCCGCAATGACTATGAAGCCAGGTAGAAAAGGAAACTTTTTTTATAATAATGTGAAAAGATATTGATGTGTGGATGTATATACATAACTTTATAGTAGGAAGCTTTACTTCTGATTATCAGCACTAATATTTTTTTTCTGTTCTTGCCTTAGGCCTCAATATTTTAAACTAATTGATGAATGCATTTCACAGATAGTTCTGTTCAGGAATGGGGCTGACCCAGACTTTAAACGCAAACACTTTGACATTAATGTTGAGGCCTTAATAGGTGAGTCTGGTGCTCCGGTTGGCTATATTTATTTTGCTAATTGTCCAGGAAAAATGTATTTTTCCATTTGTTACTATTATATGAGCTGACAGAAAGTTAATATATTTGTACCATTTTATGCCCCATTGTAAAAAATAAATCACTCAGCTTAAGCATATTAGTTGCAAAGGAGTTTTTTTTTTTTTTTAAGAAGAAAGATTGCAGAATATTTCTTACTGTTTGCCCAAAGTATCTACAGTCTATTAAAAACATTGCCAGTTTTCATTTCAGGGCAGTTGTACTTTTAATTCATGATGAAAACCTCTCTAGCACGACATTTCTTGCTCTTTCAGTTATACTGAGACACAATAAATGATCTATTTCTGGTCTGTTAAAGATGCATGAGAAAAAGCAGATATGCACATATTTAACTATGTCTGGTAAATCAAGGATGTAGCAAAGCAATGCATAATCTAGAAATTGAGTAAGACTCTACAATACAGGTGTGCTCTGAGCTACATTTGCCTCCTGAAAACTTTGAGTGTGGCTTTCAAAGATTTCAGTAGTAAATTATAATTTTTACTTTGTTAATAGTTGTAGCATTTATACCTGTAGCTAAGTACTGTAGAAATGTGATGCAATTAATAATTAAATAAATGGCCAGAAACTAACTACATTCACTAAATTTAAATTAAATATAAATAAAATAAAATCCAGTTCAGTTTTCCCCCCGGCTCTATACAACTACGCAACCCGAGGATGCCACTAAAAGAATGAAGAAGCCCACTGCTCCCCCAAAAGTATGCACCTCTACTTTATAGGGTTGCTTAGTGCAGAAGAGAATTTTTCTCACAGTGTTCTTACTTAGGTTTTTTTTTTCTGTAGATAACTTGATTGATCAAACTAAGGTGGCAAAAAGTGAAGCTAAAACCCTGGAATTGGAGAAGAAGGTTACAATCATATTTTTTCTTTATCTTTCATTCTTCCTTTGTTTACTGGCTTTTTGTTTACTCAGAACAAATTACTACTTTTTGTGTTTTTAAATATCTTCATTTTTTTTTAAAAAAAACTTAGTTTTTATTCCATTTGTGGTGCTGATAGCTATTTCTTTCTGTTTAGTTCTTTTTTTCTTGATGCCTCTTTTCTTTGGTACTCATGGCCTACTATTTATAAGTATGCAAGAGGAGTATTCCCCTGGCTTTCTCCCAAACATGACAAAAATCAGGTCTGTATTGATATTGTCTTCATCTTCAGAAGTACATTCTTTTTTTTAATTCTGCAGCAATAACAGCAATAACGGTTAGAGCATTGCTGCAATACTGTTTTTTCACTGGGTGCCACAAAAGTCAAAATAGGAAGTTGTATGCTAAAGTTTTCATTGAGTAGCATGCTATCATAAACTTTTTTCTTCATTTCCTTTATTTTTAACACTTCTGAACTAATTATATATATATTTATAAACAGGCTTACTTTTTCTATTTCTCATCGTGGTGCATTTGAAAAGAAAAAATGTATAAACTTAAACATCTTCATTCTAAAGTATTTCAGAAGGTTATATGTATAATTTATGTATTAATCTTAAACACATGCCATCCTGTATATTTTTCATTTGCCAGAGGATTTTTCCTATTGCTTGCAAACATTTAACAGTATATAGACCAACTCCTACCAAATTTTAGTTGTATATTTAATGCCAGAAAAGGTAGGTGGCTCTGTAAATGGGAGCAACAGTTCAGAGGAGCTGCATGAAGCATGTGGATTACTTACTTCTAATTCAGTGGTCCCCAATCTTTCCAGCTTGGTGCCTCAGTGTGTGTGTGGGGGGGGCAGCGAATGATACCCTGTGAGTGGCAGGTGTGCGTGTGTGAGTGGCATAGCTCCATGGATAGAATTGAATTGAATTGAATTGGAAGGGACCTTGGAGGTCTTCTAATCCAGCCCCCCGCTTAAGCAGGAGAACCTATACCATCTCAGACAAGTGACAGTGCAAACGCAAGTGCCTGCCACTGGTACAAGTGGAGTTTTGCATGTGCACGCCCACCACTTGCGCGAATAGAGCTTCGTGTGAGTGGAGCTGCGTGCATGAACGCAAGTGCCCGTCACTTGCGCGAGTGGAGCTGCATACGCATGTGTGCTTCCCTGCTGCTTGTGTGGCCTTGTTTCGAATGGGCTGCAGCCTAGGGATTAGGGACCCCTATTCTAATTGACAGAAGGAGACAATATCCAGATTGTTCCTCATTGATAAAGTGGAAAACTACCATTAAATCTAGACTTTATAGAGCAGGGGTAATTGTTCACACATTCTGAATATGTTATCTCACAAAAAGCTGTAAAAGGCCGAATTCCCCAAACTTTCAGGGTTGGCAACCCAGAGCAGGGGGGAGGGGGAAAAGAAGGAATGGTTTGTGGAGGGGTAAATGCATGTGTGCACAAGTGCATGCGGATGAACACCCGTTGCTTGTGTGAGTGGGGCCGTGAGCATGAGTGAGGTCACGGAAGCCCACCGCGAGCACATGATTCCACAAGTACCTGCGACATGGTGACCAAGTGCTCATGCGTGGTGCCATGAATGCTGGCAACGCCGGTGACGTTTGCACAAGTGGAGCCACAAGCACCTGTCACGCTCACGAGAGTGGAGCCACAAGCACCCATGACGCTCGCAGCGACACTTACATGAGTGGTGCTACAAACAGTTGCGGCAATACTCACGTGAATGGGGCCATGAATGCTTGTGGCGATGCTCACACGAATGGGGCCGCAAATGTCCACAATGCTTACGTGTGCACCATCCAGCACACGTGCACTGGCCAGCCACTCACGCTATAAAGGATCAAGAAGAGACATTAATTTATTAAAGAAATGTAATTTTAGAAGTATCAACTAAAATGAAAATAAATAAATATAGGCAAGAAGATTTGCCAAAGGTTCTGATTCAGTCCCTGTCACCTCAAGTAAAAGGACCTTGAGTAGTAGAAGAGGGAAGGATTTCTGGTGAGTCATGGCTGGCCAAGATAAAACCAAGCTACATAAAATAGTGACCTGACATGTCAGCATCACTTAGGCACAGAAAACATAAACACTGGAACATTTTTCTTTACTGCCTTTCTTAAAAGATTCCTGCATATTTCAGAATTTTATAATAATGTTTTTGTTATTACATATAAAACTTATTTCCATTAAATAATTTCGCAGATCATTTTTGACCTGGATTATGACCGAAACTAATTAACACATACTCTATTAAATGTTATCCACTTGTCATCTAATCAGCATCCTTCATGTTGTACTCCCCAAGAAGGAAAATATTATCTCGCTTGAGGTTTAACCAGTGTGGAGTATGTTGGCATGATTATTGTGCATAATTCTTTCAGCTGGAATGTGAATTGACTGCACGTCATGAATTACAAGTTGAAATGAAGAAGAAGGAAAATGATTTTGAGGAAAAAATTCAAAATTTACTTCAGGAGAAAGAAACAGTGGCAGCTGAGAAACAGCGTATTACTTCAGAGAACCAAAACTTAGAAATTAATAGCTCTTTGTTGAATGATGAGGTAATGATCAATGGTACAAATAAACTGATTACATTAGAGGAACATGCCATTTCAGTGTTTAAGCCCTCAGTCCCAAGAATCATAAAATGGAATAAGAAATATTGCTATTGTCTTGGAGAAAGAATTGGGTAATGTGATGGGGTAATGTGATGGGACAGGAGGTGAATGAAAAGTTGTACTTTTAAGATTTCAAGATATTGGGATGTTAATGGATGCATGTAAATGTTGCTATTCCACACTATATGACATCCCTTTCATTATGATGATCAAGAGAGGGAGTCGGGATAGTTGGTAGCATGCTGTGAAACATTTGTTTTGTTCTTTGTGAATAAAATGAATTGTATATGAACTCTGGGATTGAAGGAGATCATTTACTTGTTTATGGATTTATACCCCATCACATTCAATTGAGTCTTGGAAGCTTGTAGCAAATATAACAAGTTGCTAGTTGAGAAATATGAATGTCCTATAATAAACTCTGGGTCCAGTGTGTGATCCAATGCATTGCAGTATGTCAGACAGCATCTCCTATAGTGCCAGTCTGGCTGTGTGCCAAGCTTTTTTTCTAGCATAATTTCAGTTGGCAACAATAATTTGGTCTCCGTGTGACCTGCAGAATTATTTTTAGAAAATGAAATGAAAGTTGTCCAGCATGCTTTTTCTGGAAGTTTGCACATCCTTAAAAAATTGGAAAATAAGCTGAGATGGTAAGTGTTAAAGTAGTAATGGGAAGCGATCTTTCCCATTTCTACTTCCATCATGGCAGCCGCTTTGTGAAAATACCTATAATTTACTCTGAAAATCCTAATTGTATCTATTAGAGCAGACGCATTGAGAGCCCCACATACTAACCATCTACAACTGGGTTAGGTTGAAATGTTAAATCAGATGTGCAATGTGTTACAATCTGATTTGATGTACATATGCAATATGTAAAATAGGGCTATGCAGATCCTTCAAAGCATTATTTAGGAACATTAATGAAGTACTATTTGAATCATATAATAGGTTTGTCTTTTTCTATTTTGGACTGTACCCAGCTGTCTCCTCACACTTCGCTTGCACAGCCACTTTGTTCTGCATTGTGCATCCTTGGTTCAGAACAGCCAGGATCAGCTTTCAGAATAGTTATGTAAGCCTGGGAAAAAGTCCTGCTTCGATCATTCAGAAAGCTGTGTTCCAAAGGATCTCTTGTGTAGGAATCTCACATCCCTAAATCAGAATAAGACTACCAATCCAGTGTGTTCTGCCTATTATTGTATCTGTTGCATTAGATAAAGTCAGGTTACATAAAAAGAAATCTCAAAACCTCGAAGGAAGGAAAGGGTAGTGAATGATGGCTTAGAGATGGGTAGTCTGTTTATTTTTCTGGTTTAGAATTATGAAACTTTTCCAATCTGACCTGTTCTACTTCTTTCTCTAAAGATTGCTCTACTGACCAAAGAACTTGAAGATCTTAAAAAGAAAATGGAGCAAATCATTTCATCTACGTGTTTTCCATCACAGCAACCATTACCTACCAGGA